AAATCCCCAGCCCTCTCCTAAACCTTTCTTATGGTGAAAAATTTTATGTTCTTAAATAAGCCCAAGATGACAAAAGCTTCCCAGCTTTGTACATGTTACACATTTGTACCCAAGAGAACCACAACTGACAGAAAAAGAAAAGACCGCTGAGCCTTCTGGGAGATTTGTGGGTGTCAGCCACATGTTATGCCATGACACAGTGCCTGAATTCTTCAGGTCTCCCAAACTGGATTCTAAGACCTCGACCTCATGTATAGTCTCAGATATTCTGTCTCCAGCACTTCCACCAGGCTGATGGACCTTTGGCACCTTCTTTCTCATGTTTAGTTCCTTGCCCAAAAACCTCAATATAAAAACCTGCCTTGACATGTACATGAAACTCCTCCTTCTGCCTTTCAGATAAACTACAAGAGATTTTGTTGGCAGTGTGATGTTTTGAAAAGCAACAAAACAGCAACAACAACTGAAATAAGCTGTGGCATCTTACTAGCCATGAGAAATTTCTTTAATCTCACTGAGCCTCAATGTCTCTCTCTACTAAATGAGAATTAATAGTGCCTATGTCAACTTTTTGTGAGAATTAAGAGGTTGTGCAGGTAACGTGCTTAGTACAGTGCCTGTACAAAGTTACAACGAAGTATATAGTCTTACTGGTATGATCAATAATAAAGGTAGTAATGAATTTTTTTATCAACTATTTCTGACTGTGTAATTAGGAGCTCATTTCTAAGTTGCTGAGAGTCTCAATTTCCTTACTTGAAAAATGAGGCCAAGTCTTCAATTACCTATTGAAAGGGTTAGATGCTAAAAATAAATGGAAGTTGCCCACTAAGTGCTTTGTCTTTCCTATCTCCTTTTGCCTGTACTCATCACTGCTCCCCAGTGGGCCTTACGTAGGTACCTTGAGTGTGTGCGTGTCACACCAGCCCTAGCACTGTGCATTACATTTACTATACACATTGTCTTTTCTCACCTTTAATAGGAATACCTCCTTCCTTTTCATGAAATTCTTCCCATTCTTCAAGCTCCAGAACAAATACCATTTCCTCTGTGAGAACTTTGCCAACACCTCCATTTGCTACTGACTTCTCTCTCCATGGAGCCATTACATTTCTTCAAGTGCTTGTTACACCATTTAGCCATCGGTGATACTGTCTTGCTCACCACAGAGATGCCTTGCATTTCATGCTTATACAGCCTTGGAGATGGAAATTCAGTCCAACAGTGGCTAACTTGGAGATGAGAAATCTTCTATGAGCTAAAAGGAAATACAAGTTCACCTCTGCTTTTTTGTTGTTGCAGTTGCTTTGCATGAACAGGGAATGGTTCAAACGACTGTGAAAGACTACATGAGGTAAGTAGCAGAATCAGAGTGATTTCACTCCAACATTTTGCAGTTGTATCTTGGTAAACAAAATAGAACTATGCATTAATAATATCATTGATCTTGGGATCTAATGAAAGGTCACTGGTTTAACATCAATGCCTATAATATTTCATTAGCCTTAAGAGACAGAGGTTCCTTAGGTGTCATAAAGGGGTGGCAAAATTAACTCAAAAATGCTGACTCAGGGATTGTTTCATTAGAACGTATGAATAAATGGCATTCTATTACAATGCAACCGTTCATCAGGACCTGTTCATAAAGCAGTTACATTCATGTTTTCATGTTGTCAGTGTTGTTAATCATCGTGCTGTTTATGGAAAAAAATATAATTTCCAAAGTTAGATAGAAAGCTTGAGTCTCTTAGCATGAGTAGAGACTGGATCTCAATGTGTGGCCCCCTGCAGCACCAGCATCATCAGGGGACCTAAGAGAAAAGCAAATTCTCAAACAGCTAACACAGACATGCTGAACTAGGAAATCGAAGGTAGAGCTCAGAGTTTAGTTTGCAAGTTCTTCAGATGATTCTGAGGTACACACTCATCTAAGATAAACTATGAACTCTGCAAAGTTAAGGACTTTGTTTCCTGTGCTTATATCTTCCTTGAATTTTCTGGATAATCCCAATTAGCTGAAAATCAAACATGCATCACTGTGTCCCCTTACTCCTACCAATTCATACCTACAATGCTATTTTTCGTGCCCCTCTTCTTAATGGGTTGTTTGTTTTTTGTGTTTTCATTTTTTTGTTTGCTTTGTTTTATTTTGCTTGCTATTACGGAGCTATAAGTGACCACAAGAATCTCCCATACAACCCTCTTAGTTTCTCAGAGGAAACTTGAGGGCCAGGTTCAGTGACAAGCTCACACTCCCATGGCTTTGTTAGGATTGTGACTACACATGGATAGACTCTTCTGAATCCAAGGCCAGGGCTGCTTCTGGGAAGCTCTGCTGAACATTACAAAATAAGATGTACCCTTTAAGCCCAAGGTGAAAATTAAATCATGACAGGTTAACACAAGCTTTGATAAGGCAATAAATAAAAGAATGTTTTCTGCCTCTACTCAAGGATCCCAAAAAGCTCAATATAGTTTTAAAACTAGAGTTTTAAAAGAAGCTTGTCTTTTTCCTCTCAAATTTAACAAGAAGATGCAACTAAACAGGGAAAAGGCGGGTTCCAGCCACCTTACTAAATGTGGATAGGACTTAGACAAATTCACCAGCCCACGTAAGATAACTTGTTGTCATTGGGAACGTTGATATCTGTACTATATTCTTTTATACATTTCAATTTTATGTCAATAGTCTATTATATTTGATGGTGCTACATGTGATCCATGATATAGATAAGCTATGTAGAACTGAATTATATTCTAATAGAGTTACAGACTCTTTGGAAGTGTTTTCAAGTGATCTGCAGTACTGGTTTATTGGATCAAGTGATGATCATATGTTTGGTAATAAAGGAGTTCTAACTATTGCATGTAAATGGCCACAGGAGGCCTGGGGGCAGTACTTAGAGATTATTAGCCATGCAGTCTGAAATCTTTCTCTGTTTAGAGAATTAGTGTGGAGCTGCTTCAGTGGCTGCTAACTGTATCTCTTTCATCATATAATTTTAACTTCTTCCCCAAAGTTGAAGCCTAGCAAAGCTGTGTTTGTGAAAGGTTCCCCAATGATTTGCCATCTGTCAAGAGTGAGACATTCTGTCACCTTTATAATTGGCGGGCACCTAACACTTAGATTCTCACACCTTCTGTAACAGATCACTGAAAGAAGGAGCAGCCCCTTAGCTGCAATTTCTTCCTTAAAGGTGTGGCCATTATTGCATTATTAGAAACTAAAAGGAAATGTAAATGTTTAATCTGGAAGGGAAAGGTTGACAGTGACCTCCTGGTGACTCTTTAAATCAATATATCTCATCCTCGGTATTCCCTCTCCCATTGTAGATCTCTGCACCAGTTTTCAGAAACTCCTGCCCTATCAAGAGGGACTAGTTTTAATTCTTGTTATTCTACCACAAGTGTACCACAAAGGTAGGTGACTTCCAGGCATTTTTCATTCAGAACAATGGTAAACTAACTGATGTTTATCACTTTCAGTGCCAAGGTAGACTAGAACATTTTGACAAAATCATCTTCCTGTTTCAGGGCCAAGTTTAAAAACAACAAACAGAACATATTGTGATCCTTCCTCGGTGCTCAAAATCATTATTTGTAAACATCAGTCCTTGTAATCTGCATTTAGTAATATCTTTGAGAGATTCACGCAGTGGAGGAGTCACCCAGCCTGAAACAATATTCTGTGGGTCTCCTGTTGGCAGTCTTTTACTGCTTCCTCTCCTGCTATCAATGACCACTTCGTGGTGGTTGTCATTGTACCGTCTCTGGCTTCTGTTCTACAATCTCCCTGCCCTATCTAATTTAACACATGCCCACTAGGGGAATGAAGAGCCAGATGGATGAACTCATGGCATTGTACGTAAAGTACAGGCAGGCAGTCCCTGTGTAGGGCGACTGACGGTGCTTTAAGTAAGTATATATGATCTGTTATGACTGTGCCATCTGTCTGTTCAGGTTCCTCTCTCATTCATTTTCCAGAAGATTGGGTGACTAGGAAAAAAGGGCTCATGGGTAAGTGAGCTGTTATTGGATGAAAATATTCATATTTTTAATCGCAGCATTCCGGAATGGCTGGAACTTTGGGAAAAAGATCCTGTGGAGATTCTCTTGGATCTGGGGTTTGGTGCTGATGAGCCAGACATCTGCACACGAATCCCAACCAGATTCCTTCGCTGTGGCTCAGCAGTCAGAGGAATTAACATACGTGTTTTCCTTGAGGCTCAGAAGCAGCGGATGGACCTTGAGAACCCTGACTTCTATGGTGAGTGAGGACTGTGGGACAGGCATCTCGGCAGTGGCAAGAGTAGACCGCAGTATTGGGCAGGATGGGCTAGTGGACTGTGTGCAACAGCAGCCAACACCTGTCTTACAGTGGCAAGCATTTGTTTCTCAGTTACTCTCTGGCCTGTGTCTTTGGGAGAAGGGCTGAACTGCACCGTATTGTCTGTACTCAAGGACTTCGCCCTACACCGGCAGTCTGGAACACCACTAGTGAAAATGACAGGAAAAGAGTGGAACGAGAGAACTGTACTGAACTCTTAAATCAATCATTCCACTCATGATTTACACATATCAGGTCTGCCCAGGTTTCACTGGCCAAACAAGTCATATAGCCACATAATGCAAGTGTTGAGATTGTGCAAGTCTGCCATCTTCCCAGAGGGGAAAAAAGTTGGCGATACTGCTGAGTAAAGCTAACATATATCATAGCCACAGACCAAGGAGGCAGAAAAACTGCTGTCACTTATCATGAATTGCTAGGTGAAACCTAAATTTCTTCATTTACGAGGCTTAGATCACTACAGTTTACACCTTTACCTGCAGGTGGTAGTTATTATTCTATCATATCTGCATATTTGCACATTATACCTAATCCTTAGCGTTATTATGCATGCTGCTCTATTGACCCAACAAGTGATCAGTAGAACCCTTTTTCTAGGACATTAGGACATAAGGATGTTGTTGGGGTATATGTACTTTTTCTGAATAATTTGGGGCATGTGTCTTGCAGTTAAACAAAATTATTTGCTGCCTAGATTCATTCAGTATGCTAAGGTACACTTTCAGTCTCCTAGAGAAGATGTACTATAGCATTTTCAAAATGATTTAAATGTAGAACCCCTCTTGCAGTGGCAAAGAACATCTTCACAGAATAGAGTTTGGAGGAATTCAAGAGGAGAAAGTGACAAAGTCCTGTTTCTGAAATAAATAAATTCATTGAAAGGAAAGTCAAGGGAGATGAAGTGCTTGTCTAATATAATTATATAGAACAAAAAGTGAACTTTTCACTTAGAGTTTTCATTTTAGTTTCTTTTTCTCCATTTTCACATGTATGAAATGGGTCTCAAACTCTTAGCAATGAAATTGTTAAACAAGAGTATGTCGACCTGAGGCGTTGTGGTATAAAGTTTCTTAACATTCCAGAAATAATTTTGTTCTGTGTTGTCTCCTCTTCCAAGCAGCACAGAAATGTACGTTTTTTGATCAGTTCTTTATATGAGGTGAATAATAACACTTACCAATATTTGAATAGCATTCAAGCTGATCTGAGAAGTAAACATTTTACAAATGAAATTGACACATGGATTATAGAGGAACTAGGGATTGGTCCCTGATCCTGTGATTTCCTGGACTAGTAATTTCCACTATTTCACATTCACCAACACATTTTTGATTGAAGAAATCTGAGGTCAAATATACAACAAGCAATACCAAATTAGTAGGCTGCTCAAAAGATAAGATGGATAATTATGTCTCATTCAGAGTTAATACAACAAGTTCAAACTTGTGGATGAGAATCAATTGCTCCATTCAGTCTACCCAAAGGCAAAAATAAAACATCCTACTAATACTTTCAGACTCTGAATTGACTGAACCAATTAAATTGATAGACTTTATCATAATTTAGGTATAAAAACCCCTATGGGATGGGTAGAAGACAATCATAAAAGCTAAATTATGACTTGATCATCCCCACTGGGTCACAAAAGAAATTTTATTTCAGTCAAAGCTTAACTTGTGAGGGAAGAGTGTGATCAGAATTATTCTGAAACATCCAAAACCCAAGAGTTCCTGTAGGTCTTGCACGAAGAACACAGTTCTTGGTGAGAAATCGATCACACTTTTTGGAGTAGAAGCATGATTAGTTAGTATCACCTTTTAGGTGAAAGAAACAGGTAGGCATAAAGATATGCTCAGGGAAGAATTAGTAGAATTGCTGAGATGATGAACACAGAAGAAGTTGCTGTTTCCATGGCTTTATTATCTTTTGATATAAAAAATAAGCTGATATCAAAAATTTTTGATATCAAAAATTAAGCTGGCAAGAGTATCCAAGCTACACCTTAAAGCATTAGGTCTCTCCCTTAGGCTAATTAAGTCAATACTTGTATAATTTGCATGAACACGGAGGACAGATCATCAAGAAAAGTTTACAATGTAAGCTTGCTTGTTTTCCAGGACAAATGGTTTTCACATTAATGGCCAGACTTTTAAAAGACTGAGGACAGTACTGTGTGTTCCCTTCCTGACTTTTGCACATTTATAGTGATTATTTTCACAAGTGGCATTTACATATCATTGGACTTTTACAACTTTTTCTTGATGCTGACATCAGATTTGATAGATACATAGGACAGTCATGATTCCCTAGATGAAAAACTGAGCATTTACTGTCTAGCACAGAGCTTACCACTTATTATATACATATTACTTCATGCACTCTGGGGCAAATATCCACAGATCATTGACCTAGGATTTGGATAAAGACCACATACCACAATCACCCATGCTCTCAGCTGATGGAGATGGTAGAGGTGATCATAAGATATCTACCACCTACCAAGGTAGGCAGTTGTAGGGGGACTCTTAAGCCAGTTCATACTGAAAGAGCTGGGCTCATTCTTTTACATTTAGCTTGATATGCATATGTATATAGATTCATACCTGTCTATAGTTTTTAATAGATTAGCACATAAAAACTATGGGCATATATAGATCTATATATAATATACATAATTGCATAGATCTATGTATGGATCTACGTAACTAAATTTAAAAAGTGTTTACTCTCCCCATAACACAGAAATTTCTTATTATGTAGGAGGATCCTTTGAAAAACCGACTGAGAAAAACTTGAATTTTTCTTTCTTTTTGAGACAGGATTTCACTGTGTAGTTCAGAGTGGCCTTGAATTCACTTTGTAGCCCATGCTGGCTTCAAACAGACAGAGATCCTCCTGCCTCAGCCTCTCCAGTGCTGGGATTACAGGCATGTGCCACCCCACATAGCAAAACTTGAACTTTAAGAATTTAACATCTCTCCTCTTGAAAATCACATTAGCTAACTCTTTCATTTTCACTCCACCCACATATTACATTAGTGCAGAATCATGGAAAAGATTTGGTCTAAAACTTGTGCATTTCTGGTGGTCCTCAGGCCGTTTCCGACAGCTAGAAGTACTGGACCAAGTCACTAATGCTCTGTCATCGTTGCTGAATGATGTTAACACCCTGCAGAATGAAGCTGAAGAGAAAGCCGGAGGACAGAGCATGAACAGAACCTCAGTGAGTGGGGTCAAACAGCATCACACAAGAGCGAGTAAACTTTTTCAGAGAGCTTCGAGACAGAGCATTAGGAGGGACTATCACACAGAAGCATCAGGATCAATCAAGATGAAGGATGGAGTTTTCATCCCTTCTACCAAACCGCAGGAGTATGCAGCAGAATTATCAGCAGCTTCATTCAGTCCCAACCAAAGTCACCAGTTTCCTTTAACAGAATCTCATTCTGTCCAAGCCACTGACAGCTTGACATCTTGCCACCCTCTTCAAGTTCCTTTAAGCAAGCAGTGGCCTTGTTCATCCATGCTGGCTACACAAACTCCTCCTTCCTGTGTGTCTAAGGACTCCGGCAAAGGTGGAACTCAGAAGGAAAACTCCGTTCACATCAACAAGCTCAAGCGATTGTCTCGACTTGTGGCTAAAGCACCAGACTCCTTTGAAATGGAAGAGGTCAGTGTTGCGTGTACATGCTGGTTTCTTAAAGACAGTCATCTGCACCACAGCATCCTTGCCTTCCAGGCCTTGCTTATTCTCTCCATCTTTTGACACCTCCACATTGTGTGTTATTCTTCCAAGTCCAGCCTAGAGTAAGACATTTAAAGTCATTCTAGTTGCTTTAGTCAGAAATGAACTTGTGTGAAATCAGCCTTCTACTTCTTTTCTTTTTCTTGCTCACAATTGAATCTGTGTGTCCTTCCTGACTTAGTTTTTGCTCAGTATTTCAAGATGCATCTCGGCAGCTTTGTTCTGAGTCTAACTTTCCATGTGTCAGCTTCTTTAAAGGTCAGTTCAGCTTCTTCCTGCTCCATGAAGCTTACCTGGATAATTCCTCTTCTGTGTCCTCAGAGCCTTGGCAAGGAGAGCTTTCAGTGTTAGAGAGGTGGATTAGCTGCCTCTCCCTCACTAAACTCTCAGCAGCCTCAGGACCAGGGAATGTCTCTTCAAAATATTCGACCCACAATGCCTTGGACAAAGCCACAGGAATTTGGGGTTGATATTGATTTTAGGGACTTAGTATTTTGTTTGCTTCATCCATATTTATACTCACACATTTGACCGCATTTCACTCACATCCTCTGCACCTTCGTCCCCACTTTCATTCACACCAATTTCACTCTTTTTTTGGTTTTGTTTTGGTTTTTCTCCGGTACCGGGAACCGAACTCATGACCTTGCACTTGCCAGGCAGGTGCTTTTGCCGCTGAGCTAAATCCCCAGCCCCACCAATTTCACCCTTATGTCACTAACACCTCCACCTGTACCGCACAGCACTTTTTCCCCAGCAATATACAGATATACACATTTCCACTAATTTGTCTCTTCTTAATGGCAACTAAGATCTGGATTTAGCTTTCTGACAACTCTGTTATGTACTCGAGTTACAAAGAAGTAATTACAAGACAAGAGTAAATCTTCACATCTCGCACGCCTTCATCTAAATTACCGAAAAACCCTATGGAACATTTAGACGCAAATTCCAACTTGCAGCTGCTTCTCCACTGAGAGCACTTTGTGCCAGGCACAGTCGACCAGCACAGAATCGGTAACAGAATCTGCTTGGAAGGGGACAGCAGAGAAGTGACAGGGAGAAACACAGAAAGCTGTGACATAGGTCAGACAGTGATAGATCTAAGGGGTACTTTCAAGTCACTTTATGGACATGTTAGGTACCCAGGCAGTATTGAAAGGGATCCTTAACCAGATAGATAGCAGGCTGAGAAGATCAAGAAGTTAATAGGAAATAAGACTTGACCATAATCTTAAAAAGAAGAATAAGATTTAGCCAGGTAAATATGTCTATTGGTAACCCGCCCTGCCTAACAAAGTTATAAAAATTTCCTCAAAATGTTTAGCTGTTAATTATCAAAAATATATATATTTATATTCCTTATATAAGGAATTTGTATAATGTGAAAATACAAGATTGAATTTAAAATAGTAGCATAAAAATTATAAAAGAGATGAAAACAGACATTTCATTAAATTCTGTGATTTGAATATAAAGGGTGGTGGAAAAAAAAATAGACCGTTTACTTTTACATCAATCTTCCCATAGTATTTGCATTACCAAATTAATAGTTCAATTACTCTAATGATTGTCAAATCAACCTGCAGTTCATTAGTCAGTCTGTTATCTTACCTAAGATCCAAAAAAGAAGTTTCATTGAACTCCCACCCATCCTCAAGTCTCACGAGACTCTGCTGTTCCCTAAGATTTTTCTACTTAAAGCAAGGTTGACTTAAAGGCAAATTCATGTCCAGTGTGTACCAGTTATGTATGAGAGCACAGGAATCAGTAAACAGCAAATTCCGTGTAAAGAAATAAAAAATAATGCCAGGTATAACTCAATATACTGTCAAATATTTTAAATGAAAATTATTCAAGGAAAATCTGTTTATTAGATTTATTGTGGGGAAAAGAAGGAATACGGACACAATTTTTTTAAAAAAAATTGTCTCTTTGGCATACAATATTCAGCAAATATTTTTTGAAAGAGTTAGATAATATTAAATGTATGAAAATATTAATTAAGATGAAGGATATCATCAAAGGAAAAATAGATTATTATGTTGAACTTCAGAGTTCAACTTTGCTTCTGATGTTCCTTTAATGTTTTCTTGGATTTGCATGTGTGAGAGAATATATGTATATGTAAGGCAAAGGTAGTTCTCAAAACGATGTAAAAGAAATTACTTAAATTTTACTGTTACAAAAGTATGCATATATAAGGTATTACATTCTCCACATGGGGGAAATACTTGTTTCACTCAATATCCATGAATGAGTACATGAAGATTGGGTAGAGTGCATCTTAAACAGGAGCTAATGCCAGATTTAATATTTATTTTTCAATGGCAAATCTTAAAAAATCCAACTATAAGAAATGCAAAGTATGTGTGAAATGAACAGATTTTCATGGCATTTAAATTATGATCCAATGTACATAAATAACTAGTTAACAGAATTCTAACTATGATTGGCCAGATTTTGCCTCCAGATCGATTGATAATGCTTTCCCTAAAGTCCTATTAAAGGCTGCATTTGGCAATATTTGATTCACTTCTTAAAACTGATTCCAACAAAATTGTACATAGATTTACAATGCAAAAATTACGGCATTTTTGCGTTTAGTTTTTCCTTAGTGAATTGAGTCAGCTCTTATCTTTTAAAATTCCCAGTCATATTAAATCAATACATTTGCAATTATAAACTCAAGGGAAGATGCTTCTTTATATCCACGATCTTCATCCTTTCCTTCTGCTTATATAAATATCTTCATCCTTTCCTTCTGCTTATATAAAAAAATCCGGTCCTGTGGAAGTCATATATGGCAATTTTAATCATCTTAATAAATAATCTTGAACTCTTCATTAGATATAGAATATTTCAAAAGCTTGGATTGTTTCATTTTTATTTATTTATTAATAAATTTGGCTCAGGTAAAAGGCCCAGGAATACATGTGGCATCTATTTTAAATTATTGGGCTTTTTCTCTTTTATTTTTAATATACAAATTGCAGTAACTAGATTTGTCTTCATTGTAAGGAACACAGACAAAGGGGTTTCTGAGTTACACCTGAAAATGTACAGAAGGCTCATGGGGCTGAGCCACCAAGACCTCATAAGTATGTCTGATTCAAGCATGAGGCAGTGTCCTTGAAGAAAAGAGATGAAGGGTTAAAAATCAGGACTAAATAATCTCTCATACTACATTGCTGAGCTACGGACTCACAGTTCTCAGCTTCTTCCTATGGTGAAGGTCATTTGGGGCCTTATGTGCCAAAATGTTTAGAATGTTTACATTTTTTGATTCAGTGTTCAATATAAATTCCAAATAAACAATTCCAAGTGAAACAAACATCAATTGCAAGTAAATAATGTGGTATATAGGAGTAGATGTATGTGCAATGATATTCGTCTCAGCATTTTTTATAACTGCAAAATTTTGAGAACTTTCCAACAATGAGAAATTTGTTATGTAAACTCACATACCTTTAAAGTGTGGCTTATTGTTCAGTTGTCAAAGAAGATACTTTCAAAAAAATTTCATGATGTGGGAAAAGAGTTCCCCTTTCAAATTTTTAAATCAAAAAATTTGGCTACCTAACTATATCCAGAATAAAGAAACATTCTACAATGTTACTAGGAAATATTTTCCTATTTTTAAAAACTTTTTCCATGAGACACATTTCTGTAGTAAGCTGTGTTACTACTTCAAAACTTACAGTTATTATTTTGTTTTAACAATGGCTTTATTGTCATTAGGAGTATTTCTTTTAATTTCTAAAAAATTCAAAACTAAATTGTACTTTATCAATTTGGACAGTAAATGTGACTTGTCTGAGCACTGTGTAACAACCAAATTGTTCTCCCTAAATTTATCAAGCCATAATTAATTTGCTTTCTCAAGTATTTTTATTTTATTTTATTTTATTTTTGTACTGGGAATCGAACTCAGGACCCTGCACTTGCTAAGCAGGTGCTTGTGCCACTGAGCTATATTCCCTATCCAGTCTCCAAGTATTTTTAATACTCTTCATCAACAAAAATTCTAGCATAATATTATTATTAAACTTAGTTCAAGGCACATCTTCCAGGAAGAACCATTTATCTTTCCACACGAAGTGATGGTCCCCTCTCCTGGACTTCTTTATTTCTTTGATTCTGTATCATTGATGTCTTGTCCCAGAAGACTATAAACTATTTGAGCTCAAGAACTCATGCTTACCACTCTTATTGGTATCTAGCAAACACTCATTATACATTGATTTTAAAAAGTGCATTTATTATGAAAATATCTCTAATGAGATATATGTTGATATTCTAGGTCCAGAGCTTTGAGGAGGAGACTGGTAGCCCTCTTGACATGACTTCAGGAATTGTAGGTAAGAATTCATTCATGTGTGTGAATTTATCAATAGCCTTTCAGAAAGTGAATACAAATAACTAACGTGTAATTTTCTTAATATGTACATAGCTTAAATGAGCTCCAGGGGATGCTCTAAATTTGTGTGTCACCTGACAGATTAGAAAAATAGTGATGTGAACATACATGTAAATTTTAAAATACCAGAAGAATGCACTACCCCTGAAGCTAATGGAGTCTGTGGCTTGTCTGATGCTAACTCTTCATGATCTGTCTACCGTAATAGAACGTTTTTGACACTGCACTGAGACTAACTAGGTGAAAACTTTCCTACTTCTACTGCCAACTGCTTGTTATGGCACAAGTCATATCATTTTACTGTCAAGTTCTTAGCAGAAATGAGTTGCCTAGCTTTAACTTTCCAAAACACCTCTCAGAATGAGGCTGTACCATCCGAGATAACAGAGAAGGAAGTGGTTTTTCACTCTTGGTTCTTATTCCCATATGCAGTTATCATAGTGATTCAGCATTTCCATGATCCTTTAATGGAGCTCAAAGTAGGAAGAGATTAGTCAAGCAAAATAGAGGGAAGCTAGTGTATTTCCTGAAAGAAAATATGCAAATTTTTAATTTAATTTAGTATGATGTCAAACACATCTTTTCCATTACAAAGTGTATGCATGGGCCTCATTTTGCTAAATGCTGTTTAGAAATTATGCATTAGTAATTATAGGGTCCTGCTGATTACATAAATTGTTACCCTGCTCTTCGAAGTAATTACCACATAACCTGCATTGAGGTTTATAAGACAAAAATAAGCATCTGTTTTCCATCTAATTGAATGCTTCTCAGTGAAGCTGGAGGTCCCCTTGTCAGTAGGAACTATCTTCCTTGACACTGTGTTAAGAGGTTTAATGATATCACCTAAACCACCTCAATTATTCCAAAAATTATTTGGGAAATTAGATAAATTGAGAAAGTAAAGTAATATAGGTGATGGTTTGCTTAAGAGAGAATATTTAGAAAACAAGATTTTATTACTTTCAAAACTAGCATTGTTAACTGAAGAATAAATAGCATTGAGAACAAATAATCAGAGTTAGTTGAATTAATGAAGAAAAGGAAAATTTATTATGCATATGTAATCTCTTTGATATGTGTGTGTTTACTTAAAATTCAGAAGATAGGAATTTGAAAAGATTAAGGCACATGGACTTTTTTGACCAACAAAATAGGGCCAAAGTGATGCGATCCTAGTTTTAAGGCCTCTCTTGCAACAGCGCTCCCATCATCCCATCTGCACCCTGGCTTGTGGGATGTATCTGTTCCTGGAACACTCCCGCTTGAACCTAGTCCCGCATTGTGAAAAGCACAAGCTATGTGAGGTGCCGCATGCAGGTGCTCTGATAGATAGCCCTAAATGGGGCCCCATGCGAACATGCAATCCTTGATGTCCAGCCCACTCACCCTTCCTCATGATCTAACCAGATACCAGAACCGGGTGACAATCACACAGTCAAGCTGACCAACCAAACAGCCAATTGCTGTTTTAAACCACACATTACATGCAGATATGTTAAGGCACTTAATGATCACTTCAAATATCTTTAGATTTTAGTTAAAAATCATTTTTAAGACTGTACTGCTTTTACTCAAGACCCAAAGCTAAAAATATACTATCCTCCCTTAACTCTTGACAAATTATCACTGAAATGACAAGGTGACATAAAAAGAAATTAATAAATAAAAATCCTTCTTAAGGGGAACAAGACACATCATCTGTATTCCAGAAGTCTTAGGGAATATGTAGGATATATGGTGAGAGAAATTGCAGACAATTTTAAAGTAAGAACCAGTTTGGGACTGAATAGACATGTTTACATACTGAAAAACCATACTATTACGTAATGATCATAATTTCCCAGTGAGTTTCACTTAATTATCAAACAGAACATGACATACCTTTTTAGCTTATACAATGAGGAAACACAGAAAAATGACCACACCAAAATTTGACATTTCAATATCAGAAGTTATTTTGAAAAAATACCCACTACTAAAAAAATGACTGTAAAGAAGCATTAGAAATCCTTGGAAGTGAATATTCACAAGGATGATGTATGGGCATTGCCATGTATAAAGAAAATCTCCAGGAAGTAAAGATTCCTTTTAGGTGGAATACACAATGTCCGTTTCTGTTCCTGATAATGCCTAAGTAACAATGCATGAGCCAGTCTCCCCACGTGGAAGTACAAACTCTAGATAGTTTTAAAGCTCCTACCTAACGACACTAGAGAGTGAACAAGAGCAGGCAGATAGTGGAGGGGATGTCAACAATTGAAAGAAAAGAATAATACCGAGTAAGTGCCCTTTTTAAAAAAATTTTTTTAAAAGCCTTTTAACCCAAGGGCAAGATCCAGTTGGCAGCATTCTAAAACTCTAATAGAAAGTAGAAAAAAAAATAAAGTAGCAGTCTTATTAATCATATAAATCATAAGGTAGAATGTGGGGCAAAAGTAACACCTGGAAAATGAGGGAAAGTAAATCCCAGAAAGGAGAGATCCAGAACGGAAATTCCCCAAATTCTAGGCATGAAATCTGCACACATCTCTGGAAGATTTAGCTGACCTTGCATAGATTCAAAAGATGTCAAGAATCTCAACAAAGACTAAAAGAAAAGAACAAAGATTTCTATTTAATATTAAGTTCCACCCAGGTCCTGTGCCTGTTAAAACAATATGATATACCATTCACAAAGTCCAGGATAACAAAAATGTACTGGACTTCTGAAGAAAAAAGAACACATAACCCATACACAAGAAAAAAGGCAATTACCAGAGACAAACCATGAGAAGACCCAGATACTGAAATGAGCAGATCAGTGCTTCACAGATGTTATTACAATCATATTGAAGGATGTAAAAGAAAATACATTCACAATGAATAAGGAGATAGCAAACCTCAAATGCAAAATAGAAACTATAGTACAGAAAGAAACAGAAATTCTATGAGTGAATATTGAAATTATATAATTCAGTGAGTATTCTTTATGGCAGGTTAGAAATAATAAAAGAAATATGTATTTCCTCTGTAATCTAAAAAAAGAAAAAAGAGATTAAAAGTATATGGAAAAAATTATCTGAGTTTCAGTAACCTGAGGAGCAATATCAAAGGTCAAATATATATGGATTTGTAGCCTAGGAAGATAAGTTTAGGGAGAACAGGGCAAGGGAGAAATATTTAAAGAACTAATGATGAAAATTTCTCTCACTCACAGACTTACAATTACAGATTCAAAAACTCAGCAAACTCCACATAGGATAAAAACACAGAAAACTACTCCTAAATAGTGTAATGATCAAAGTCATAAATATCAAAAGTAAGAGGAACTGTTCAAAACAGGCACAAATGATAGGGGAATAAAGATTTAAATATCAGGAGACTTTGCATTTGAAACAATAGACAGCAGCAGCATATAACTGTGAGCCACAATACTATATATGGCAAAGTTTCATTCATGAATAAAAATGAAGACTTTTTCAGATAAAACAAGCTAAGTTAACTTGCTGCCAGCATACTTGTACTGCAAGCAATGTTAAAGAAAGTTTCCCAGACCAAAGAGGGAGGGTAGATTGTGATGTTCTATACAATGCACTGATTTAATACCTATGAGAATTTACAGCAAAGAAGATAGGAGAGGTGGTAAATGAACAACTATGGCTATAAAATTTCTACATTTTATGTAAAGTCAGACACTATTACATTCAGCTAGACTGTGCAGAAGTGCGGATGTGAAGCAGCTGTGAAAAATAGGGGTGTAGCAGAATGCTAATAGAAAAAATTAAAATATATAATTAAAAAAACACAATGACAGAAAGTAACAGAATGAATAATGAAGGAAAAATAACTGAAAAGTATAAGACATGAGAAATTATTTAAGGAGTGAAAAAATAAAAAAGAATATATTGTAAAATATCAAGAAAGAGATATCCAAGAAACTACTCCCTAGATGTAGCAGGTGGTTAAAGTTAGACTGTTCCTGTCTTAGATTTTATTAAAGTTCTAAAAAAGACAGATATCAGGTATAAAGTCAATGTATTACAAATCTATAGACACAGCTTTTCTAAGGAAGTTAGAGGAAGCAGTTCCATGACTCTTGAAATTCTCAGGTCATTAAGGATGTAAAGATGAGCAAAGAGAGAGAGAGAGAGAGGGAGAGAGAGAGAAGAAGAAGAAGGAGGAGGAGGAGGAGGAAGAAGAAGAAAAAGGAGAAGGAGAAGGAGAAGGAAGAAGGAAGAAGGAAGAAGGAAGAAGGAAGAAGGAGGAGAAGGAGAAGAAGCAGTTCCATGACTCTTGAAATTCTCAGGTCATCAAAGACATAAAGATGAGCAGTTATTGAAAGAGAGAGAAAGAGAGAGAGACAGAGAGAGAAAATATAGATTGATTTAATTGATGAATACTATTGCCCTTCTGCGGGTTTCCCAACCATTGAAGGATTAAAAATGATAAACCTTCCACTGCAAATAGTAAGAGACTTTTAGGAAGATCACAGAGCATCTTCATTACATTGAACAACCACAGGTATGGGTACTGTTCTATATGTTTCACATGCATTTCTTTATTTGATCCTCAAAAGCAGCCACTGTAGGCATTGTTGTCACTGCTATTTATTAGATGAGGAAACTGAAACAAAGATACTCAGTACCTTATACCAGTCTCACAGATGGTAAAAGTTGTGCCAGGTTTCTGATCTGGACCATTTTGCTGCATAATTGACCCTCGTAAGTACTGAATATGCTTCTTCAAAATGCAGCTGGAAGACATGGGCTTAGTAAATGAGAATAGCACAGGCTGTGGAATGACTTGTCACCCACATAGAGAACTGCAGGGAGCCAGGGAAGCACAAACCACTGTATTTGAAAGTATTTTCCCAGATTTCCATCTCTACAATGAAACTGTACCTTCCAGTTGATGGCAAGTCATTGTGTAACTGTGAAGCCCAGCGGCTTTCTTTCAGTC